TTTTTTTTGTTCTTCTCGTTGGCCTTAGCCAACGGTCATGTCTCAACACATACCCCCCCCTCTGCCAACATCCAAATGCAGACCCGGGGTCGAATCCCCTATTGGGATTGGACCATTTTCTCGATTTATGCGTGTCGTCCTTGCATAGGGGCCACACTACTCTCGACGCGGCCTATCTCGGTCGTGTGATCTCAGTGATCGCACGGTCGAGATGGACCACGCCATCTACAAAGTGACGCAGCTCCAAAAGGAGCTATGCCCAGTAGAGCGCGGCATTTCAGATTCGATCCCGGTGTTTGTCGAGTAGCAGTCTGGTATTGTAACCTATTGGGCTAACTCCTATCACGGGAGAGATGCCTGTAACCCTTCTATTTGAAGGGTTGTGGCCCAGTAGGCTTGTCATCTCAGGCCTAGGCAGGCTTAGTCTTGCCTCGCCCTGCTAAAGCCGGTACCCGGCTACCTAACCGACTGAAACTCACCCTGGCGGCCCGCAAGGCACCCTGTTAGCCGCGCGTCCAGCATTGGGGCCCGGCACGGAGTTAAATCTCACAGCCCACAAGAATTGGTAAACCTTCTCTCCCGCGTTGCATCCTATACCCGACATGTCCATTCTTTTTAGCCTACTCAGGCACTGAATCGCGTGACTGCTAAACCTCGCGACATTATTTTAGGTAGAATAGGTCTAGCTTTAGCGTTCCCATGTTCGTACGCCTTTGCGACTTCGTCAAAAACGAAGCACTTTCAGTTATTGTTGCTACTCTCGGACATCATAGGCATCCGAACTAAAGCTCAACAACTTTTGATCTCTCAGTCACAGGTTTTGTCTGAATAACGTTTGGCAACATCAGTCTCATCGGGTCCTTCAATCCAACAAAAGAGTCGAACAACATCCGACGTTGAAAACCCCCGACAAATACCCTTGTCAGGGTATTTGCCCCGATACCGGCGTTCGGGACGGGCTGAACGCCCGAATGTACGAGACTCCTTGGGGATGCGTTCGGCCGTTCGCGCCAAACGCAGACAAAAAAAAAAAAAAAAAAAAAAAAAAAAAAAAAAAAAAAAAAAAAAAAAAAAAAAAAAAAAAAAAACATTTGCCTCAACATTACACCCAAATTCGTTAACAAATTTTTGGTGATTTTTCATTTTTGTTTGGCATAGCCAAATGCCCTGAAAATTTACATATGTATACTTCACATAATAAAAAACTCATTAAAAAAGTTTTAGAAAATAATAAAACTGTGTAGGACCTGCAATGAAGTGGAAAAAAAAGTAAAAAGTGACAAAGAAACAAAATAGTGAGTAAGCGAGCGTGTTTTGACACCACCATCTTTGACGATTGTTTTTTTTGGGGGGCTTAGCACAATGACTTCAAAAATTATAAGCATGTACCTCATATCATAGAAAACTCACAAAAAAAATGAAAAAAAACTTATTTTTAGGCCCCAAAATATTTTTTGGCGGGGCCCAAACGCTTTCGGGTTCGGACCCGGAACGTGACCCTGAACGCCCGTACGTACGGAGGTCGGCCCGGGGACCTCCGTACGTGAGAGCAGGTTAACCGAGCACCCATTTTTCAGGCCCATTTATAAGAAAACCAGACGGTCATTTTAACGATACTTTGCACCAATCTATAGAGTGCACTCCATACGACCTCATCACATAAAAAAACCCTAAAAAAAACAATTAAAAACATATAAAACAGCAACCCGAAAGTGCATTTCCATGAAATCTAACCAAAACCCTAATTTCAGAAATTTCAGGCCTGAAAACCAGACGCCCCGTTAACCTCTTTTTGTGACCTTTCAGGCCGAGCTAGCGTATTTTTATAAAGGTGAATTTATTTGCATTCAAGGATGTGTATATATTGTCGAAGTGCATCAACTCCACTATGCGGATCAAGAGAAACACGGGAGCCCTTCAGACCATGTCACACACGAGTTAAACCACCAGTACCTCCTAAAAGTGCTCCGAGTTAATGAGCGTGGCTTTTGGGATGAACGGGCATGGGCCGGTAGGCCCGATTCAGGCTAGTGGAAACAACGCGATTTCCACTTTCGGCTGGTCGTTAACGCGGAGCACTTTCAGGAGGTACTGGTGGTTTAAGAAAAAACACGTATATCGATTGCTTCGACAGTTGCTGTAAAAAAAAAAAAAAAAACTTGAGTGCCACAATGCGTCAAAATTTGCGTCTCAACAAAATTTGTTATGCCTTAGCATATCAGTCATAGGTTAGGTTTGAATAAGTTTTACACAAATCTTTAACTCGTCAACTTTTTTATTAATAATGTTTCAACAGACCGTCGGACAATGTTGTTGGTAAAAACACTGAGCAGATACTATTGTAATGGTTTTCACTCCAAAAATATTTACCCTCACAAAACATTGCTTAGGCGCAAATACCCTTACAATCAGGGTCACCAACCCGTACGCTGTTTTATATGTTTTTAATTGCTTTTTTAAGGGTTTTTTTATGTGATGAGGTCGTAAGGAGTGCACTCTATAGATTGGGGTAAAGTATCGTTAAAATGACCGTCTGGTTTTCTTATAAATGGGCCTGAAAAATGGGTGCTCGGTTGACCTGCTCTCTGAAAGGTTGTGGAAGGAGATATGCCCTCCACAATGACTGACACTATTTAGTGGATCTGTTCCTTCTGTAGAGAGAGCTCTCATGGTCTTCCAATCATTGTGTCAAAGAATAGGATGACCTAGGAGTTTTTGCTGCTTTTGATCAGGTGCATCAAACCTACCTCCAATGATCCCTTACGACATGATAGGTTTTCGTGGGATCGTTCTTCCCCCCCAAAAAAATGTTGCCATCCTTGAAGGGTGTATCCTTGCCGAGTTACTGGCCCATACATGACGATTTTTACTTATCGTGCCACGTGTGGGTCAACTTAGGGGATTTGCTCGTTCGTTGTAGCAAAGCTGTACATGTGGCGAAATGGTCGTCCGACCTATACATAAACCGCCACTCGGATTGGTGATCTTTCTGGCTCGGTTCTACATCAGTCACACGAAGTATGTCAATTCATGTCTTCATTTTGTTTTCCCTATCTGACTCATAGTCCTTTTCAGTACAACCTATAATTGTTTTTATCCAATTTGTACAAAATAAAGGATCTGCTACTCTATATCATACGACATGTCACATTGGGGCTTGATTATGGACTGTGTCCTGATGTCGGTTTCCAAATAAACCAATGAATTTCAAGCCACAAAGAGTTCCTGGTGCTCTTTAGGAGTTCATGAGCCACAATGGTGTTTCACAATTTGAGGCCACCTGGTCTAGGGTCAAACACCCTTCCCGACTAGCTAGAGTGGAAGTTGATATCCACCCGCCATTTGTCCTTCTAGCCTGAGCAAAGTTGTGATCCTCTGTGATCTGATAAGGCCATTCGTATGTAAGTTGGGGCCAGGCCACACTCCTTTCTAGCCAGATTGAACCACCACCTGCTGCACATCTGAAGCGCCATACTCACAAAAGATAATATCACCCTTCGTCCGTTGTCCCTTGTCCCTTGCCCAATGTTGTCAGTTCTGCCCCTGAGCTGCAGTCCCCATCCATCAACCAGGAGGAACGCTAATATCATGAAGAGGGGAACAGGAGGGCCAAAGAGACGGGTGAGCTACAGGCCCATATTATATGTACGAGGGCCAGGCATATCGGGCCATATGAGATGATATGACAATATGCGAGTAGATAAACATATGCATATGGTTTCCTTTTTTTTTCCTCTGGGAACACATTTCGTGTCTACGAATGGGGGCCTATATATTCTGTGACAATATGTTAGCACATGTACAACGTATATATGTATTTCTGGGAATCTGCACAATTGGGTTCGGGGCCACGATACCAAACCGGAATCCAGGTACCAGTGACGTTGCGAGGAACGTACGTCACTGGGAATCACCGCAAGTGGGAAATGCTGGGGTTTGCCGGGAAAAGGGGAAAAGGTGACGGTTGCGCGACAACGGCAGCGAAAACAGGGGACTGAATACTTCAGGCGGGCAGAATTCTGTCCGTAACGATGGTGATGATTTTTGGCCGTTCGAGCACGAGAATTTCGGCTGTTTGGCGGGCGGGCGACCAGCACGGTGGCCAGGCGTCTGGTCGCACTTCGTCTCTGTGTCTGCTTGTGATGTGAAATCAGCCCGCCCATGTAGAGGTGGGAGGCTGGCATGGATGGTGTTCCAAGCTTCACCATGCAGACTATCAGGAAGCGCCATGCGAAGGGACGAGAAGGAGGCTGGGAGGTGAAGTGAGGGAGGAGGAGTCGTGCGAGGGGAGGTGAAGGAGGGAAGAGTCCGAGTATGCTTTACGGCCGAGTGTTGGGAGAGGAGGCTGCCAGGTGAAGTGAGGGAGGAGCAGACAGAGAAGGAACACAGGAGGGAGGGAGTCAGAGGAGGGCGCCAGAGCTGGAGCTGGAGCAAGATTGCAGGTGAGTGGGCAGGGAGCGATACAACTGTCTTGATTGAGGTCGTGATTAGATCACTGGTGGCGGGAGTGCGACGGGGAAGGAAGGAAGAGGGAAGGAGAGAACGGGAAATGACGAGGAAGAATGTATGTTTTTATCTTTCTTCACCGTATGTAGTCTGATTTCATGTTCAAATGCATGCATGGTTGGCAGAATCGAGGGAGACAGAAAAGGGAGGCAGGTTTGTCGCGGGAGCGACATTGCAGTCTAGTATGCACGAAGAGAGAGAGAGAGAGAGAGAGAGAGAGAGAGAGAGAGAGAGAGAGAGAGAGAGAGAGAGAGAGAGAGAGAGAGAGAGAGAGAGAGNGAGAGAGAGAGAGAGAGAGAGAGAGAGAGAGAGAGAGAGAGAGAGAGAGAGAGAGAGAGATTGTCGGGAAGCGTCATGCGAAGGGAGATGAAAGGAGGGGGGCGGAGGGAGGAGGACGAGCGGAGACGAGGAGGAAGCAGGAGGAGGGAGGTGGATGACAAGGACGAGAAAAGAAATGGCGTGCCACGACAGGAGGAGACAGGAGGAGGAAAGGAGGAGGAGGAGGAGGAGGAGGAGGTGGGTGAGACGACAAGAATCACAAGATGGAAACCGAAAATCGCGTGCCATAGAGGAGGAAGCAGGCCGAAGGAGGAAGGGGGAGAGAACGAGGGAGAGGAGGAGGAGGGAAGAGCGACATGCCGAGGGAGGGAGGGAGTGAGCCGAATCTGTGTGGTGTGTCCCTTTTTATCTCTTGCAGTCTGGATTCCAACTTGGGTATGTATTCCTTTTTCTTTTGCCGTAGGCGACGGCCGTGAGATATTGTTATCGAACTGACTGGCCCAGGTAATTCGAATTTTTTTGTTTTTTTTCGAAATTTCATTCATTTTTAACTGTTTGGATTGGAGCTCACCTCTGCATTTCAACAGCCCATGGGTGTACCGACCGAGTTTCGCCGGTCGGTTGGGTCTGGAACAGATGAGTCGAGACGAAAAAGGGAGGAGGATGAGTAGGAGCGAGGATGATGATGAGGACAATAACAAAAAAGCCGTGTGCTGCTGTGCCACGTGGCAAATGGCGAAAGGAGGGAAGTTGGAGAAAAGAGGAGAACGAGGGAGGTGGATGACCAGGACGAGAAAATGAAGAAAAATCACCTGGCGGTGTGGGGGAGGTGGAAGGAGGAGGTAGGAGGAGCTAGGACGAGGGAGGAGGTAGGAGGAGGTAGGAGGGAGAAGGTAAGAGGAGGCTGGACGAGGAAGGAGGTAGGAGAAGGAAGGAGGCAGACAAGGGGAGCTGATGAGAGAGGAGGATGGCGATGACAAGAAGAAGATGAAAAGACAATCGCCTGCCGGTGTGCCACGTGTCACGCAACGGGAGAAGAGAGGAGGAAGGAGGGAGGAGGAAGATGGAGGAGGGAGAAGTAAGGAGGGGGGAGGAGAGGGAGGAGGATGAGTCGGAGGGAGGAAGATGAGTAGGAGGGAGGAGGATGAGTAGGACCGAGGATGATGATTAGGACGAGAACAATAACACAACAAAAACCGCATGCTGGTGTGCCACGTGGGGAGAAGCCGGGGAGGACAACAGGAATCACGAGATGAAAAGAAAAGTCGCACGGCGGTTCTGATGCAAAGGGGAGGATGAGGGGGCTGCAGAGCGGAGATGGAGGGAGCGTCGAGGGGAGTTGGAACGTGGCATCCTCGTGAAGACGGAGAGCTGTCTCGTGTGCAACACTTGGGCGCACTCTGGATAACGGGGGAGTCTGTGTGTGTGTGTGTGTGTGTGTGTGTGTGTGTGTGTGTGTGTGTGTGTGTG